GAAGTATCGTGACCAAAGAAATTACTGTTGCCATCAGGAAGCAAAAAGAGAATGACAAAGGCAAAACCTACAGAGAAAATAATAATGAAGGGACGAGATGACATCATGGTGGAAAAACGGGATGAAAGAACAAGAATAATAGTGCTGACCACGAGAAAACAATCCACCAAGAGAAAACCAAAAGGAAACCCAAAAGGGATGTGCAATGGTAAGTAAGGGCTGATCTCAGTTGGTATAAAACAAGAGAAAAAAATGATAAGTGAAAGGAAAACAGATCAAGTGAAAGGTGAAAGAAAAATGCATCACAGAGGAACCGATGACGCGAACAGTGAATACTTGCCACCAAAACCACTTGACAAAAATATGAATCGTAAGGTGACAAAGGATATTGTCTGTTATAAAGAGACAGAAGAGGAGAAATGTTGTATTGCAAATGAGCTAGTTATCGAACTTGGCCCCACCATAGACGCATCGCGACTGGTGGAATCATTATCCCCATCAGAAAGTGAAGGAGACAAAGAGGAAATGACAAAGATAAGACCTAAAGGTAAAAGAATGGAGGTGATAAAAATAAAGAAACAATATAGGGACACGCCAAGGAAAGCGAACAAGGAAAAACTACAACTGGATAACGCGAATCGCATCGCATACCCATTGCTAGTAATACGACTCAAATCTCTAGCCACGAATTGACTGCCTCAGGTGGATTTTCTGACGATGATGATGAAGGATATTATTATGATTTAAATACCGGTGAAACTTATACAAAATCGGACTGTTCAATCTACGCATATTAATGATTTTTAATATAATCCCGCCTTCTCGCAATAAATACTAGAGGTCAGATGGAATTCTAGGTAAAATATCGGATCACGTGATGGTTATGTAACTCGATCGTGACTGAGTAGACATTGTCTCGAAGTTTGGCACTTTTTATATGTATACTAATAGAGTAAATTACATCATATATTTATGACTGATCGCATTATCCATCTTAATCGGGTGATCTTCTTATTTTTTCTCCGTCTAAATATACAGTATCTACAATATAATAAATATGGTAACTTTATATGGGAATGATACCGATACGGATTCTATTATTCCATGGAAAAGTATGACCCAGGAGACTGCCACCACCTCTTTTACTTCTATTTTTAGTATCGAGGAGACTGATGAACTAAACAAGTACCGCCATTTTTGGTGGAAAACTGGTAATATGCACCCAAAGGCCAAATGGGAGGAAGCAAGTTTACCATACGAACTTGTTACTGGTATTCCTTATGATACTTATGTCGAACAAACGGATAAGCACAACATTCATGGCTGGTGGGAATGGGAAAATGGGACTGTCCGTGTCATTGAACTTCCCTCGATATTTCATGAGAGTTGCGTCAGTGCTATTGCCTATGAAATTAATAGAACGTTCGATAGTGTGCGAAGCACTAATGCAGGCGTTCTTGGTCTTGGAGCGATGAGTGAGTGTTTTGGGGTTTTCTTTGATTTCAATATTTTTCCATTACCAACTACATGTAACTGGATAAAAGCAACAAAATCACGAGGATCGGGCAAAGAAGCGGATGCATCATTTCGACCAACGGCAAAACCTCGAGTGAATAGAAACGGATGCGACACAAGTGGTGTATGTAAAGATACTGACTTGGTTCATCTCCTGAGGTAATTGTTTTAAATTTCTGGCATTAACAATGACATTGTATTTTTAGACCCATCCCTGGCCAAATCTAGTAGTGGAGGTTGCGTACACACAATCTGAAGCGGATGCTAAAAACAAAGTAGAAAATTATTGGCTTCAAGGTAGTCGAGCTCATGATGCTATCGTGATTAAAATAGAGGAATTTATCGCACCAGCTACAAGGCCGTCAGTAATGACTGTAAGAGTAATGACAAGATGACTCGATTCCTGCTCAATTGCTTTGGCACTATCTGATGTTTTTATATTCCTAATAGGCTTGGCATTATTGTATAAATAATCGAACAGCTACTGGCACATTATATCCTACAATGGTATGTTACATTACGTACTTTTTATTTAGCATAAGTTAAGTCTGTGAAAAGTTAATTTAAGGTATTTTTTATTTAGTACGAATTTGGGACAGTTGACCGTCAGGGAAATCAAATCAACCCACAGATTGGACAAAATGTTATCAACATTCAACTAAATTGCCTTTATTTTGGGATGCCATCTAATTTTGTGATTCCATCATCTCTACCTAACCCCATTCCTATTGATCTGTATCATGTTCAGTTCTCTATTTTAAATTGTGTTTAGATATTGATCTTTTACAGTGGTAGTATTTCTCAGGATGATAGATTACGTTCTGGCCAAACTATCACTTTCGTAATATTCAGAATATTTGTGGTCACGTGACGT